GGCTGCTCCCATAGAGCCTTCCCGTCCCAACCTCGCTAGATCTTCACTTTCATGTGCAATCAAGTATTGGTTTCTGCGTTGGGAAAGCCATCTCCTGTGGAAAGTGCAGATCTCCATGTTAAAGCAATCTGATCGGCATATGGATTTCCAGCCCTTAGGAAACAAGTCCTGTAAACTGGAAGAATTTCTTAATGCCTATTTCTTGATGCATGCCCCAGCACTGTATATTTGGGGACATATTAYATATACATTATATGCAAGGGATGGACTAAAATTGGTGATAGATCCAACTGTGAAAGAGGTCTACACTTCTGTAAGAAACAAGCACAGAAGTGGGCCAGTAGGAAGCCTCAGAAGGCTCATCAATCAAGSCACATTTTGCACAGGACCTAAGGGAACTGTTGGGAAATTAGACCGTATCCTGCAAAGATATTAGCTTGCAAATGTACAGGAAAAAATGTTTTGAAAAAAACTTGCTGAGAGTTGGCCTGTGCTGGGGAAATAGGGAAGCCAAAGTGGTTCTTCTGATCACAGGAAAAAAAAAAAATATATATATATATATATAAAAAACATGTAAATATATAGTAACAATTGCTGCTCTACAGCCATAGCTTTGATTGTTAATAAACTAAGAGAATACATATATGGAGTGAAGCATCCCTTAGTATGCAGAATAACAGAGACACAAGCGATAAACCGCGGGAGTTAATTGCCTAATGGCTCCGTTCCCCTAAGCGCTCCATTTGTCAGCTGGATCTTGGGGATCTTCGGGATCCCTGCGCACCGCACCAGTCCTTTGCACTAAGCGATGCCTCGTGCTCAGCCCCGCGGTGCTCTAATTAGCAGCAACCTCGTTAGGGTTGCAGCGTCTCAGTGCTGCCCGCCCTTGCTTTCCTGCTCTTGGCTTTGTTTTCTGTGCAACATGTGAGCTCAGCTGCACAGAGGGCCCAAAAAAGATGCAAAAAGGAAATGTGGGCATTATGGGATGGGCAAATCTGCACTGGTGTTTGCTGTTCATTAATGCTTAATTAACCAAGCGAGGCCAGCATCCCATTGCACAAATGAAAAGCAAGGGCAAATCCCTTCCTCAACAATGTGATGGTCCAGTGGTACAAGGAGGACTATTGCCCCATGCCACCTCCAACCCCCTAGCTCCCTTCCTGGTCTTGTTTGGAAATTTGGRTGCAGAACTCATTTGAAGTAACTCTATTGATGGTGCAATTGTATTTTTTTCTTCAAGTCAGCTGGTAAATCATTGTGGCAGCTATAGATCACAGAGGCCCTGTGGCTATGCTGATCTTSTGCTGGTAACGTGCTTTGCTTCAGTGTTCGTAGCTCAAACATTTCAAAAAATGAAACGGCCACTGTATTTAAAAATGGGGTTAAAGACTAGAAAAAGAAAAAAAAAMMCACAAATCTCCTCAAAAGAGAATTTGGTTTCTTAGCACCCCTTCCCTTTTATTTGAGGTCTCTGCTAGATGGCCCAGGAGAGGGAAATAGGACCTGGAAATCGGTGTTGCTGATGCTGGCAGCCCAGCGTGCRCGTAAGATCCTGCTCTGCTCATCCTCTCTCAGCCCATTAAGGGGCTTAATTAACTCYCGGCATGACAGACGGAAACAGCAAAAAAGGGTGCAGCATTTAATTCGGTGCCGTGGTATTTTCTGGGAAAAGTGGGCAAAATACATTTCTGGATTTGTTTTACCTTTGCACGGCTGTTCTTCTGAATTATTGCTGTTTTTGCAATAGGGTCTGGAGTCTGCACTAGGAGGGAAAATTATGGTCAAGTCAGAGAGCAGCACCAGAGCTAATGCTGGTGCAGTGCAGCTGACCCAGACGTGCTTTAAATTAAAGCTTCACGTGAGGAGTGTCCACTGCTGTGATGCTCTTCCCTAAGAGTGCCAAATTCCTAAAGGGCCCCGTGTGTTAGAGCAGCCCCAGCTCCTGAAGGGCCAAGGGGAAACTTGGGGGTTATTTTTATTTATTATTTTGGATCTAAGTACAGGGAGCTCTCTTGCAGGGAGCAGGACAGAGAGGCAGCATCTTGTGGCAGCTGCAGGGCCGGAGCTYTGACCACATCCACCCACGCTTTCCACAACGAGCAGGGGAGCAGGCGCTCGCCCYTGGGCAGAGGTGCTGAAACGAGAGCACGTATTTCCAAAAACGTGTTCAAAAACTAATTTTTAATATTTTGGCCTCTGCCTTGGCTTCTCTATGTGTGTGTAAAGCCACCAGTAGAAATGGCTTTGCTTACCTCAGAGGGTATTTTGGGGCATAACAGCAGTCAAGGATCACTCTTTTAGGTAAATATTTATTTAGGCAGAGTTTAATATCTGCAAATTCCTTTTCATCCTCTAGACTTTACACTCATAATGGCATTTTGAGACGTATTTCTGCAAGCATAATTTAGAGACTAACGCCTTTCAGTGGTRTGAATATTTATTTCCCAAAGGCCTCTGTGGCCTAGAAAGATCCAGGAATTTTCCTTCCTAAATGGCCTCGCACAGGAGTGGTCTTGCTCAGCTTTCCAAGGAGCGGGAAGCCTCGCTGAGGCCCTGGGAATCCCCAGTTCCTTGGGGAATCCCTTGTTAAGCCGTGCACATATGGATGGCGTTGGGCAGGGGCTTWGGCTGGACCTTGCAGGCAGCGTTTCCCTGCTGAGGCTCTATGGACTTGAGCCCTCTTGGACTGTTCCACGCTATAAGGTCACGATATTTCCCAGTAATAATTCAGTCATTGCAAAGGCCTCGTCTCCTAAAAACACAGATCTACAGTCTGAGAAATGATGAATAAATGAACAAAAAGTCCAGGTTAAAGCCCTTTTGATTTGCTTTTCTTGAAACCGGCCTTGCATTCAGGCCTTTGTATCTTTTTTTGGACTTCTGCACCTCTATCCACGTCCATAGACCCGCAGTTATTAACATCTATATTCCACTGACGCAGGAAAATGAAAACTGCAGTAAATTTTACCATATGTTTACATTCCAACCGGGTTTATAGCGGTGTTGTAACTCATGGCGTCTCCCGGCAGAAGCGTGGAGCGCTTCCAAGTTCATCTTCTGAAGCTGGAGCTTGCAGCTGGGTCACTCCTGGCGTAATGTGCGGGCGGCATCTCCAAAGCTTTGGCTTGGAAGAGCGGCCGTGTCGCTGCAGCCCATCATTTACTGCGTCCCAGGGCAAAACAGCAGCACTTTATGTGGACACAGCAGCAGAGCCGCCTGCATAAATATTGCTGCAAGGAGCAATGATCAATACTTCATGTTTAATGACGCAAACCCGAAATTAGTATGGATTTTGTGTCGTCTTCTCTTTCAAATTATGCAAACATTCCTAGCCCCTTTTGTCGTCGCCTTCTATTACAGCTTTTATAAAGAATGGCTGGCTATGCTTAATTGAAAGATTGAATAGTCAAAAATGTCACAACCAATTTCACTTTTTACTTTTTGGTTGTTGTTGTTGTTGTTCAGTCCTCACCCTTGGGTTAATAGAAAATGATGTCGAACACAAAAAAAGATTTATGTAAGTCGTGCAGGTTTTGTCACCCAGAGCTGTATATAAAGTCAATTGCAAACTGTTTTCACATTCTGAATTACCTTTCCTAGCTCTGGAATATGCTAAAAAAAATGTCCAGTAGAATAATATAGGAAAATAAAAGGTTTTCTTCTGAGMTGAACTGTACTTCAGAGAAAACTATTTTCTGGCTGCCTTTTTTTTTTTTAATATTCAAGAAGAGATTATTCTTCAGAAGGGGGCAAAAGGGAGGGCAAGAAGAAAGTGTTTTGTGAGTGGGTTATTTGGTTATTTCCAGCTGTTGGTTAATGGTGAGCAGCAAYGAGTCCTTCTGGCTTGGCCACAGCACCTTATCAGCTTGTGCTTCTCAAGGAAATGGGGCAGCAGTGAGAGAGCCAGAGGCCCAAAGACAAGGCAAAAACTGGGGGAAAATCTGGCTTCTCATTCTGACAAATCTAGTTAATGCATAAAACATATTTTGCAAGCACAGCCCGTCCGAGGCTGTGAGGAAATGAAAGGTACATTGGAAGTAAATCAGCTCCCAAGCATGAGCTTGGTTTCATGTTGAGCCTCATGTGAGATTAGAAAGTGCCATGTAAATTCCTTTGTGTCAGCTGTATTTGAGAACGTGGAGCTGGTGGATCCGTGTTGCTCCTGAAGAACAGCAATGGTTTTGCTGGAAATCAAAATGTTTGAGAGCCACGTTTCAGGAGCTAGAGATGTGGGGTTGCCCTGTAGGCTCGTGTCTTACTCCGAGGTCTGATTCAGCCTGACATTACTAGTCGCTTTCCTCAGAGCTACCTGGCCCATGGACATGTTTCAACACCAGGAAAATAAACTAATACAAATCACAATCAGCTTTAAAAATTTGTAGGTTCCACCTGGTTTGTTTTCAGTTGAGTTTTCTCACTGATGGCTGATAACACTTTTCGATTTTAAGCCAAATCTAAGTGCTGAAACTCATGGGGTCATTTTTCCTGGCCCTTTAATGTGGAGGTAAGGACCCAGTAGTTCATGTGGAGTTAAACTCATGGCATCTTGTCTGCAAAGAGCAGGATCCAATGCAAATGGGCTAGTGAAGACATCGAGCTCTACGTCTCCATCAGTGACTCTCTTAATTATGAGGCTGAATAGTGTTTGATTGCAGAACAAAGAGGAATGTCTGGAAGTATGCACTGCTGCTAGCTTGCCTCTTATCAAGACCATCTATCAAATCAAAGCAGCCACATATCTAATAAAAGAGAAAAAATACTTTCCTCTTTTGCTCTTTCATTCTGCCCATCATTTTTTTGGAGGTCTGGTATTTCTTTTCACAGCAAAGTACTAGACATACTGATAAATGTAGTGACCTTTTTGTAGTTATTTTGGATGTCTAAATTGGAAACGGGAGGGATTAATGGGTATCTCACAGCACTGCAGGCTCCAGAGCGAGTTTCTGGTGCCAACCCTGGGTTGCCACCATCTCATTGAAATGTTGTTTTTCTCCTTGTAGGAAGAACTCAAACGGCTCCAGAACACCTTGGAACAGGTCAATGATGGCAAATCTTTACTTCAAAGGTAAATCTGGGGATTCACACATGAAACAGCRTTTATAAGGCCACGATTAAGTTTGCCTCTAGTGCGAGTAACCCAAAGAGGGTGACGGTGGTATCTGTCCTGCACGAGGAAGAGCTGGAGCCTGAACCGGCAGATGGGGGGACCAGATGTCACTTCTGCACCGTCAGCAGAAAAGATGCAAAACACGATCCAGCAGAAGTGGCCACTTCAACAGTCCATTTGATGGTTTTTCACTGCTCATCTCTGCTCTTTAAGGGACCYTCTTCCAGTTGTAGACTGTGTTTTTTGCGTGCTAACATACTGCAAGATTTTGCATCTCTCCCATAAACAATTCTTCTTTTTAGTTACAGGAGGATAATTTCTGAAAACTGCTGCTGATTGAATGATGTAATTAAGTGTCCAGTAAAGTCTCAAAATAACTCCACAGGTTGGGGTCTCATCTTACAAAATTTTCATGCAAAGATCTGTCATTCATGTTGCTAGTCCCATCCAAAGCAGTGTCCCAAAACATTTGAATTTTTTTTATATCTTCAAGCATTTTAAAATTGCTTCCTCCAAATGATCCGTTCACAGCACCAATTCCTTGGTCATCCTTTATTACAAGGAATTCTTTTCTTCATGTTCCTGTATGGCTTTTGCTGATGTAATTCATTTGCTCCCAGCACTATCATTGTTACTTTCCATTTTTACACTCTGGCTTTTCAAATCTAGCCCCAGGGGTGGAAGTTAATTTAGYAGGAATCTCTCTTCTATTTGCCAGTGTTGTTGTTTTATTTATTTATTTGCAGCAGCTTCTTTGCTGGGTGTGCCTGTCTCTGGGGCGCTGGCATCTGGGGGAGTTAGTGCTGAGATTACAGAGCTCCAAGTCTGGAAACTGGATTCAAACTCGTATACTTTGCTAGCAGCCAAACAGGGACCCAGATACCACCCTCCAAAGACAGCAACACCCTTAAGTAAGCAGCTCATGTATGGTCTTCTCTAAAGTCCTGAATTAATTCTCAGCAATTGCAAAACAGTCACTCTGAGACGCGTTGAAAGCATCTCCTTTTCTCTTTCTTAGCCATCAGCTTGCCATGGATGAGGAAAATAACATTGAAAAATACCCTATCAACTTACAGCCCTTGGAATCAAAAGTGAAAATGTAAGTAGTAAAGACTGGTGTTTCTTGACTGAGTRCACCAGGGGTTGCTGATCATCTGGGCTTTCTCTGGGACTTTAAGCATGAAAAAGCCTTAATTTAGCAAGGTGGTTAAGCTCTCATCTACCTTTAAGCATGTGAATATTCTTTTTGAATCGAGTTTCAGATGCTAAACTTAAATGTGGCGCTAATTTTGTAACTTTCTCTGTAGAACTAGAGAATATTTGAGACCTTGCCAGATTTTTCAGGTGCAGAGCTCTTTATCAGATACGCAGGGTTCAGGCAGGGCATCGTGAATACRGGGCATGTAGCTACAGTGCCAGGGAGGGAAGAAATAAGCAGCTCTGCTTCTGAAAAAAAGAGTTCCCTAGCTTCCCAGAATCATTGCAGCCTCACAATGCAGTTTCTGCTCAAAATTTAAAGTTTATCCTTGTGTTTGTCCAAGTAAAGGATCCCACTTTCGTATCCACTCAGATGGGGAGCCTTCATCACGGAGTTTTTCTGTGGACAAACTTCTYTTACACCAAAAAAGGTGGCTGCTTTTACACTGAAACCCTGTACGACTTCCAGGGAAAATCCTGTGACGTGTGGTGAAGGATGTGGCTTTACATGGAGAATTTTATTCATTGCTGTTTTTCATACCGAATTTCATTTTCAGTGGAAAAGCTACAGCTAACGTGTTATAAAGGATGTTAAAATATTAATGCTGCATTAAAATATTAAAAGGACATGAAGTTTCAAATTAAAATCCAGCCAGCGCCTTTTAGTCCTGCCAATATAAGTCAGATGAAAGAATGAATTTTCAGGGAGTTTTCCAGGGGGTAGATATGCCTCAAACTCAGTGTCGTCTCATGCTTTAAAATGGAAAGTACATGCAAATATCGATATGTAAATACTCCATGTAAACATTATGCAGTAAAGCATGAAACTAAAATAATGCAAATATAAATGTTTTGAGTGTGAAGATGTGATTTTTTKGTGAAATCCAAATGTGTTTACCGAAAGCTCCTGCGTTGACACACGCACTGAGGAGCCTTAGCAGACATCGGTGTCTCTTTTCCAGCTGTCGTAGGGCCTGGTCGGTGCTGCAGCGCCCTGTCCTGGGGGTGGCCTGGCAGGGCCTCTGTTGTTTCTGATCCTGTATTTTTCTAAAAAACAAACCAAAAGAGGTATCTGACTTCRCTGGGCCTTAAGATGTCCCAGATAAGCTCCCCAATCAGAGGGTGTCTGAAAAATCCCCTCCTAAGAGGTCCYTCCTGGCACCCTGTGAAGTGCTGATAGGAAGGGATCACATCCCAGGGCGAAGCTTGGCCCTCCTGCTGAGGGAACTGAAAAGTACCATTTTCCTGCGCCATGAAGATAAAATCCAACACCTTTTCAGCCTGGTTGGAGGCTAAAACATTTTCCTGACTTGTGGAGAAAGCAGTGAAGAAGCGGGATTGCGTTCGGCCTAGAAGACAAGGCCGTGGCCTCCAGCAYGTTCCCTCCACCTGCCGTGTCTCTCCTGTGGACCGCAGATGTGTTAATCTGTGGTGGCAGTGAGAAGCTGCCCTCAGGAGCCTTGGCCTCACGGTGGCCATGGTCATATGTGGTGATACAACTAAGAGCCATTGACTCTTTTCCGTATTTCATTGCCTTGTAATGGTGTCCAGTGCACAGTGAAGAGCTGCTGTGCTCCCCGTCYTCATTGTGGCCTCTCAGAACCAGCTGAGCTTTGACTCCCAAGGTGTCCCTGCCAGCGRGAGCTCAAGTTAGGATGAAGTTCAGCTGTGAGAGCCTCTGCACCTGGGGGAGCTGCTGGGCTCATCAAGCCCCTCAACAGCACACACATGTGTTGTGTGGAGACTTCTCGTGTCCATCAGCTTCTTCCTCTCTACAAAATTGCCTAGTAGAGGAGCAGCAGAGGCTTTGAATCCTSTAGCTTTTGTGGTGAGACTGCAACCAGCTGAAGAGGAGATCCAAGGGTGGGGTATTCCCTGACACCTCAGGGAGAGCAACTTTCCTGCCCAACAGAGCATTGGTAAGCACTTTCTTGCCCAAACCRAAGTGCTATGAGTGCTATGGAGTGCAGCCTGGCATCTCATGTCTCATGTCTCCCTATTGCTTCTATTCTCATCGGGCAGACTGGCAGCCTCCACCCTCTTAAATCTTATGTGCTGCATGTTCTTCCTCTCAAGTCCTCTGGTGAACGTGCTCCTGCCCTCCCAAGAAAGGGCCTGTGAGCAGGGAGCCACACATGTGCCACCCTCCTTAGCTTGTCTAGCAGAGAGGGACTTCAGGGCTTTGCTTGCCAGGCAAGACTGCCAGAGCAGAGGAGGTGTAAGAGGCAAAAATGGCTCATGCTGGTGATGTACGTCTGTCCAGCCCGTGAGAAGAGCAGGAGATGGGATGGTAGTCTTGGGCACTTGAGATGATGTTGATGTTGGTTTGCACAATTAAATGCAATCCTCCCGCTGCCCCCAAATTAGAGGACAAGTAAAGGCCAAGGTACTTGATTAATAGACAGGCTGAAGATTTTCCTGAYTTAACAGCTAAGTGAATAAAATCTCAATTACTTAAAAATCCTCGAAGGAGCTCAGTAGAGCTTATTATACCACAGCGATGCAGATAACCTAGTCCTGTGACAGTATTTACCTCTGCTTTCCCGCAGATCACCCTATGCAAACACCCACCTACTTTGCCTCCATTACTGCTACTGTAAACACTGCCTTAATAACTGAGATCTCTCCCTGATCTCCTGCCGCCCGGGCGATATTGCAGTGCCACCTGGTGCAGGAGCCGCGGCTGGCGGCCACCAGCATCCCAGCCTGCTCACCGAGGGACACCCACCTCCCTGCCCCTGGCAGACCCTAACCCGGGCAGTCACTCCCTTGGGAATATTCCCCCACAGCACAAAAAGTTGAGCTTTTCTTAAGCTATTTACTGGCTATTCTGAATTGTGAATTTTCTTACAGAATGAGCAAAGTTTCGAGTTTGAAACCAGAGCTCCTTGTTTGATGCCCACGTGCTGATTTAGAGGAGTTTTTAAGCTCCTGGCTGTGGCAGTWCAGAAATGATTTGCAGGATGCTGATCTGGCTCTGAAGCTGCAATTGTATCTACATTATAATCTGGAAGCTGCATCATTAAAAACCTTTGATTTCTTTTAAACAGATAATTGTGTTTTACTTTCTCCGCAAGATGTAAGTGAACTGTTTAGTTAAGTATAGTCTAGAATGTAGATTACTTCTGTAAACTGAGAAGTTTAGATTAAAGAATTGCTTCTACTTAACAAGTAGCTCAAGGTTTTCAAATCAGAGGATGAGACCTATGGTGGGTAGTTATGCATGAACACTCTGCAAATAAAACAAATAATACAGTTAGAAAAAGAACATCCAACCAAGGACCAACTCTTAGGCTTAGAATATTTATTTGAAATCCTTTTCTGGTCGGGTACCCGCCCCAACCTCTCTCTGATCTCTGCCGCCAGCATCCAGCGCGCATGGCGCGACTACGTGCAGCGGCACGAGGCGCCCGAGAAGCGCAGCCCCTCGCCGCCGTCCCTCGCCTCCGACAAGCTCAGCAGCTCCGTCAGCATGAACACCTTCTCCGACAGCAGCACGCCGGTGAGTCCGGCCCTGGCGCCGCTTCTCCGGCCCCTGCGGCCACCCGCGCACCTTCCCCGGGCTKCCACATAGACGAGCTCTTTGGGGAAAGTTGGGTTGTTGGCTTAAAGAAGGGCATTTGGGGCAACTGTAGCATCTCAAATATGTGTAGCAGCAAACGTGCCTCTTACAGATACAGTTGGAGGTGCAGAAGTGTGTTCAGCTGGGGTTAATGAGACACTGGTCCTAGCCAGGTTGGGTGATGGACATAGCTGGCAACACCAATGTTCTACATGGGAAAAGGCAATGTTGGATGGTGGCTTGTCCTCTTGTGGAAGGGATGAATCTTTAGAGAAGCAGGTCTTTGGTGTTCTGTGTTTGTGCTTTAAACATCAGGTGACAAATGAAAGGGCTGTTCTCGTGAACCAAGTGCGGTTTCAAAGTTCTTGTTGTAAGACCTTTAAGACTGACGCTCATCAAGGCATTACAAATTAAATTTGATCTTGGAAGAAATATTTAAGCCACCCTGCAGACTGGGGTGACTGGTGGCAGGACATCATACTTCTCTTTTTTATTTTTTCAATGTTTATAAACGGGAGAGCTCACTTTTGAAAACACGATGTGGCTTTGATTATCTGTAGGGTGAGATTTGGGGATCAAAAAAAAAAAGTCAATAGAGAGTCTATAAATATTGCTTTTGGCTTTGTGACAGAATCCATCCATTTTTGGGGAAGCTGTAGACCAGAATGCACAAAATCTACATATGTACACAAACTATCTATACAAATAATCTGGGTTGTTGAGCTTGCCATGCAGTGTTTTAGATCACTCGGATAACAGCAGGATGGATCCTGCTGTTCAACTCGAGCACGGAGGATGCGTGTGAGCAGGCTGGCTGAGTCCTTGCTATGAATGTGCATCAGTCACTTTTCCATAGCATTGCTCTTAGTCACACAGAAAAAGTTGGTGGCTTCCGCATTCACTAAGGAACTCTAGAAATCAGTTCTAACRAAGTTCTTAAATGTGGAAACGATGCTACTTAGTGCAAGCATGCAAAAGTCTCCCAGGCCCTGCATTTTCTTGTGCTAAAAAGTCAGAGCTTGGACTTAGGAGGACAATTTGACTCTATTTTCCCCCACTGAATTGTATTATCTAGGTGAAAAATGAAGTGAACTGTTTCCAGCAGCTATTTTTTTTTTTGTGGTACCGTTGTTTGGTAGACTGCATTAGACTTGACGGCTTTTAATAAAATATTACTGAGGAAGTGCACTGTTTTATTTTTGGATGACTTGTGCTCATAGCTGGAGGGAGCTTTCTTGCGATGATAAACTAGAGCAATATTGGTTTATAAGCTAATGCCTTATGCATGAAATGCGATAAGTTCCTCTAATAAGGGGAATGAATGCCGGTCTGGTCTTTATGCGCTGCTGGGGCTTGCTGGAACATGGTTAATAGCTGAGAGTGGCCAGCTGGCTGTCTAGCCACCACAAGAGGTCCCTCGTACCCTGCACAGGACACATCGTGCTGGGAGCAACGCAGGACAGTCAACCGGAGGCCACAACCAAACGGGCAATAACCTCTCAGTGCTGAAATGTGGRTAGGAGAGTGACAGCAAAGATCACCTTAACTAGGTAAACCAGCCTTGGTCCATATTCCAGAGCAAGAGCCCCAAGAAGAGGCACAAATTCATTATAATGTTCCTTTGGCGTTAGTGGTGGTGTTGATAAGAAATATGCCKATGGATAATCTCCCTGAAAATGTCAGACTGAGCAGTATGTGATTTCTGACAGAAGGCACACTGAAATTYGGGCTATTTGGAGCTTTTTCCATTTACTTTCCAAACAGAACGGAAAGACTGTGCCAAAATACATTAGCAATAAGCAGTGATGCAGATGGGGTAGGGAAATTTATGAAGTATTTTGAGAAACGATTGTCACAGCAGAGTCGCTTAATTCAGCTGGAATCTAAAGCTGGTTTCTGATTTCCTTTCCACCCAAACCTGCTCACGCTCTGCTGGACTCTCAGCACTACCTTATGCTCCTGGAGGCATAAAAGTGGCTGAATAATGAAAGACAGAAAGGATTTCATGCCCACAAAATAAATGAGAGCCTGTGGGCTAACCAGTGCATATTAAAGGAGCACGATGGATAGGAAAGCTGCATGCATCAGATATTTATGCATGCCGGTACCTGGGACCAACAGCTGTGAAGGGGTAGGAGTTTGAAACTTTTAACTGGGTCAGTAGTATCTAAAACCAGGTTTAGCCAGGCTGCTGGAGAGCAAGAGGAGTTGTTGGGGTCTGCAGGGCTGTAACTGGAAAGTGAAGATTGAAAGCTGGATCTTTGTAGTTGAAAAAGATCTTGAGCTGGTGTCAGCTATTATTCCAAACCTCCTGTGGCATTTGTAAGGGAAAACTGGGAATAACTCTGAGAAGTCGAGGATTTTTAAAAGCATTATTTTTCCTTTGGCATGCTTAAAAAATAGGACAAAAAGGGCAAAAGGGAAGCAGAAAAGTGATGAAGAACACAGGAAACTGCAGTCCAGTAAAAAGCCTGTACACAGAAAGTCAAAACTGCCCAGGATCAGAGGGGGGTTTTTGTGGGGATAGAGGCACAGCTCGTGTGTGAGGGAAAGCAGGGCACCAGCACAAATGCTGGCCCTGGCAAGTGGTACCTGATACGGGCTGAGCCTTGATAGATTTGGTGCAGGGGAGCRATGCCCTCCCTATTTGCACACATCTGCTCATTCATAATCATTAACATTTCCTGTTTTCTTCAAATATGGTACCTCTTGTCCCAGTAAGAAAAATAAATGCAGAAACACRAAGCAACATCTTTAAAATAATGGCTAAGATGTGATGAGAGTGGGAGGTAACTGTCATAGGAGTGATTCCCACCATGTTTTGCAACAGCTGARATACTTCCTGATACCACAACTTTCAGATTTAGCAGTTTCATATGATTAAAAATATAAATARATAAAAAGGAAAAAACAAACACAGTTCTGGTTTCCATGAGGTGGGAATGAGCTAGGAAAATGGGATTTTCCTCTGACCAGTGTGAGATGCTTGGCTTGCACTCAGTCACTGGGTCACTGATGTATGGTGGTGTGAGCCCTGCTGAACTGCCTGGACCTTATGGATCCCTTTTATGTATGTGGCTTCAACGAGCTGTAGCTGAGGCCTGCTGGCTGTTTTTAACCATGCTGCGGTTCACAGAGACAGTCTAACTGTGCAATTCTAAGATTCAGAAACTTGATAAATCATGAATTATGATACCTTTGGTTTGACGTGGTGGAATTTATTTTCGATCAGCAAACGGCCTTTGTTACTGCAGGCAGCTGTTGCTCATGAGCCAAAATGGTAATAAGAAGTTTGTGCTATAGAAAAGAAACTGTTAAACTGAGGAGGAAAAATTACCATAGGAAAGGTTTATTTGTGCTACACTTGCCAAAACCTGATAATATCCAGCACGTGAAATGTATTCCTAATTTCTGTGGAAGAGGTCTTGTATATAGGATACTGAATCCATTGCAGGTTCTAGCAAATGTAAACAAAAATTCCTTCACGTTTCATTTATATATCTTTATGYCCTTGAAGCTTGAGCACCTCTTCTCAGTATCGTGCCATTATGATTGTCTGCATATCCTTTTGTTGGCTGGCTCAGAAGTACCAGATGGTATACAAGGCCAGAATTAATTTTTCAGACTGCCAACATCTTTTACACCAGGGCTGGTCAGAAAAGCAGTTAAGGAAAATAGATATTTTCATTCAAGTTACTTGTGATCAATCATTACGAGTTATGTAGTTGGAAATCAGTTGCTTTGTTAATGAACTTTTAGAGTAAATAAATTTACAGATGGAATAGTTCAAGAATCAAACAAATCGGGGAACTTTTTGTGGGCTTCAGTGACTGAAATAGCAAGAAGGGTTAATGCTAATCTAAAAGATTACTGAGCAATGTATGTCTCTTGAAGTTTACTAGATTTTTTTAGGCATATTGAATGCTTAGTAGAGTACATTTTGTTTCATCTGAAGACTGATCAATGAAAACGTTCTGAGTCCAACTTATACCTTATACCTTTAAGAATTCACAGGCATCTTTTTGTCATGACACTGAGACATAACAGAAGGCACCAAAAAACCCACAATGAAAAGTAATGAAAAAAACCCTGTTGCTTAAAAGTAAGAAGTGTGGGGGAAGATTGCAGCTYCCATTCAGAAACTGGCAACTAGAAAAATCCAGACTGATATCAAATTGTCAATATTTGTGCCTACAACTGGGCAGCAAATGGTGAACATGAATTTCAAAGGCAGAGAAGACTGATGTTTTTCCATCTTAGAAAAACTTTCCACTTTAAGTCAAATAAATGTCTTCTGTCACTGTCTACAGCTGCCACTGCAACTCTTATAACCATCAAAGGGCTGTTGAAGGCTCTAGTTTTCCTTGTTAGTATCTTGAAGATAAACTGATAGGATAAGCATCTGCAAAATTTTACAGTGAGATTTCATCTCATGCTTTAAACAAATTATTTCTTGTATAAAATAGAGGCCAAATTTTCCACTCTGTGCTACTGCTCTTATGTAGATTTAAAGCTTTGATTTTTATCTGTACTTTACAGCCATTCATATTGGTAAGATCCCACCTGATTCATTAACAGCTCCTATTTTCAGCCAGCTCCTTTCTTTGTSAAAAACTACTCTGGGCAGAGCAATCCTTAAAGGGTTCCCCCCGTCCAACTCTTAAAACTGCCTATGAATACGTGCTTAGTGAGAGCACTGTTAGCTCCCCATTGCTTTAACACATATAGTGTCTACAGCCACCTCCTGAGAACCCTTCAGGTAGATCAAATTATCAGGTAATGAGTCCTGGTACTTGTGTACAAACGATAAATCGTTCCTGACATTGGTGCTCTCAGTGCTTGTGCTGTGATATACAATGCTCCTTCAGACCCGCCTCCCAGTAGGAACCTTCCATAATGGGGAGAATGAACCCAAGTTGAGCAMTGAGATGAAAAAAGATTATTCTTGTTAGGCTACTGCTTTGTAGCGTAATACAGAATGGACTTGTCCRCCAAGTGTATGTAGTATGGGC